CTTAGTCTAACTCAAGCATGCTTTAAAGAACCATGCTAAACTTCACCTTTTTCTATTTAGCTGATGGACGGTACATAGATGAAGGCAGACCGCTGCTGACTACACGCTACAAAAAGACAACTGACGGAAAACACGGGCAAGAAAATAAAACAAGACAGATGCCTCGCTCCAGCATAAAAACGATTTGCACTGCACAATTGAAGCATGCTGACTCACCGTGGACCGTACCGGGAGACAGAAGGACTACATATTACAAACTATGCTTTATTTTAATTAAGAGCGTCTCAATATACTGCTTTAACAGGGAGTGCAATGTTACGCATGTACATCAAACTCTTGTTTACAGAGAAGGAAACTTTAACGCTTCATCTGCACTATTAAGAGAGGAAACTTCTGATTACGTTCATTAAGATTACATGGGATCATTCCAAATTGACACATTATAACAATGCTTGTAACAATGTAGCAATTAATAATTAATTAAAAATAACTATTATTACAACTATCAAGTACACTTTTACAAAAACGGACATTAAAGCAAAGACTATGTATTCTGAAATAGGGACATAGGATTTGTCTGGGGGGCATTTACTACAGTCAGTATGTTTTTATTGTTGGATGAGCCATCACTCTTGCCCATTTCTATCAAAATTGAATAGGTTATCCAAAATATGTAACGCTAATAAAATAATAAAACCATTAGTAAATGACAAATGTTCAAAGACACATTGACTCCTAAATATCCATTTCACATTCATCAAATGGCCGAGTTCTTTAGGATGACTTTTTGTTTTTTTGAGTTAAACATTCATTCGTTAAGAAAGCACTCTGCTCAGAGGAGGAGCTGAAACTCAATCCACAATTAGAGGACAGTTTAGGGAGACTATTGACTTTTATTTATACTACTGCTACTATCTTGGCCTTCTCTACACCAGATAAGTGCACAATTCAAGTGAAAGCTTGCCCTATCAACACTTTGCCCAAAGTTTCGCATGACTCATCCACTTGTTCCAAACCTGTCTGACTTTTTCCCTTCTGTTGAACACAAAGGATGTGTTACAGAGATTTACTGAACGTACAAAACATATACTAAACAACACACTGACTTCCATGGTCATTTTTAATTGACTGGATGTTAATAGCTATGGTTTTCCATCCAAAGGTACCAATTACATTTGTGCAAAATTGGGATATTGGATGGAAACAGTGCTATATTAACAAATTTTTTTTTATACAACAAGTCAAATACAGTAAATATTTACTTCCTGACAAACAGACAAATTACATTTATTGTGGTAGGAAAAGTCATTGTGGGCCTTGTTCTTATAAAGTAAATTGCTTGCGCCTAAAAAGATAATGCAATGAATGCAGGGTGGCTTTTGAAGGTGCGAGATGCTCTTTGGGGGGGGGGGGGGGGTTGCAGCCACTCAACACAGTTCTGGGAGGTAAAAGAGGCTAACTGCTATATGGCAGACTTTCACTTAGGGACTTTAACTTGGGACTGCATTAACAAACTGAATAAATTGGCCATCATGCCCATTTGGTTATTTATTTTATTATTCTTTTTTTTTTTATCAGAGAAACACTTTAGCCCACTCCATTGTATGCGTATTGAACATTTATGCTAGACAAGGAGCACTGCATTTTGCACATCTTGGCATTTCTGTTAATCATTTTTATGCAATATTCCAAAACGGCCATATAAAATGAACGGAAACGTAGCTAATGGCTGCTTCGTTCCTACGTTCTGCAGAATATCTCTTTTATTCAACTCAAGAAAAAAGTTCAATTTAACCAGCCGTGTCAATCTGTTTTCTTTAAAAATGCACATTTATGTTCATGGTGTTTCAAGCTACTGGTTTAAAACGCACCAATGAACAACTATTGGATATTTCAGCATTTATTAGTGCCGTTACCGTTCATTAATCCTTGACTCCAAATTAACAGAAGCGTTGCAATTTAGCATTTTATCAAAGATGAAACGCATGGCGGCAGCAGGCCTGTCAAGGTTCTTCTATTTGTACTCGGATGACATAAACTACAAATGGTGTCAAAGAAAAAGTAATACCGATGGATGGCTCCGTACAAATAAAAACATCTTGGTGACAAACTGCAGAAGGCAGACATCAAACCACCTCAAAGTGAACGCGGAGCTGCCATGCTGAACGAGCTCAGAAAGAAGACGTTTAAAGGACTCTTCCTGATGTCTCAATGACGAGCTAAACCAAGAGCACACAACACTGTCCCGTTCTACAACACCAAACAATCCTAATTCATTTTCTTACGTTTATACTCTATTAAAATCATTTCAGGCTCATTAACACTATTGCTGTTAAAGCAAACGCTGAAAATTGGAAAATGTCACAAGCAGGACTCAAACATGCACCACTGAATGAGCGCCACAACTCAATCTGCCAACTGCCATGCCATAGTACAAACCCTCAACTTGCTTTATTCCATTTCAGTGTTTGTCTGGGCCACATATGGACAGGAAATAGCGAAATAAGCATCCTTCAGTGAGAAAAAAAAAAAAAGGATTTCACACAACATCTGCTCTGATATATAACCAGATCTCGCAGGCAACGTAAATTCTCAAATCCCAACTGAACTGCAACGCTGGCAGGAAGCTCAGCGTGATGCGTCATATCTCGCACACCTCCGTCCTTTGTGTGGTCGTAACAGATTTACAGCAGGTTTGGTTGGGTCTGATGAAGACGTTCGGCTGGAGACTCGCATGTGATGATTAATTTACCGTTTCATATTACAGACAGCGGGATCCTGAGTGAGAAGACAGCCAGCGATCGATCACGGCTTATTATTGGCTATCCGACAGGGAGGGTCAGGAACGCAGGGGCCGCCTGATGCAGACACATTTGATAAACTGACAGATTGATGCTTGATGAAGCATTACTACGGCCGTGACACTTACACAATGTACAGACGGCTCGGAGGATATTAATAAAGAAGTCGTGATGTGTGAGGGATAATGAGCGACACCGTTGATGGAAGTTAGTCTCGCTCCATTCCTGACATGCTAATGTACCTCTGCGACACGAGCGATTGGACAAGCATCGGTCTGATAAAACGGATGAAATGCTCATGACGTTACAACAAACACACTGGCGAGACTCAATCCTGCTTGATAGGCCTGCACTTCATTCATTTCACAGCTTTTGCTGATTTACAGTGAAGTGGTACTTAATTAAACCAGAGCGAAAAGCTCTTCACATCAAGGCTCAATGCACAACAATCTACAACTAAAGGCCCAATCCAGATTCTATTTTTTTAACCTCTACCGCGTCTCCTCGGCCCTTCGAACTGAGTGTGAAGGGGAAGGGCTTCAAATTTTACTCCTAAGAAATGGGACAGCACTACAACACCTGCACACGCCATCATATGTCATCGTGGTCCCTTCATGCCAGATCAACTTCTGTAGTTATTCCAGTTGCGTTATTTTTGGGTATTTATCTTTAGGAAATCACCAAAGGTATGTATCGTGTTATAACTACATTAAATATATAACGATATAATGTGGCTTTGCATTTACACCATGGCCATAGGATATTAATCCATGTAAACACACGAAAACTATTAACATTATACCAGACACTGTCAAAATGTCATTTGCAGCCACTAGACTTTACTGACAGGGTATTTGAGTGTCAAGTGTCAGATGTGAAAGTATGTTGTGGGACTGCTATACACGAGTTATTATAGATGGAACAATTTAGAGGGCTTTATTACTGTAGTTTTTTAAAAAGCAGAAAGGTAAAATACTGTTATGAAAGTATTAAAATATGTGCTTGTTTGTTGTAAAAATTTGTAATATTGACAAAAAATAAAATAAATAAATAAATAAATAAATAAATAAAAACAATTACCTCATTTGTGCATTGACTTGTGTGCAGCTGTTAAGCCATTGTACACGCTGTATTCAAGAAACATTTCTTACCCCTTGGTTTCGGGCATGGTCCTAAAATTTTTTTTTTCCTGTTTCAAGCCCTATATAGCTCTTTGCCTCAGCCCTACTCCTTCAAGCTAAAGAGAATTGGGACACCCTCACCCCTTCACATTAACGCACAAAACAATGGGAAGGGCTAGGCTGTAGAACTGGGATTGTGCCCAAATATAATAACTGTCCAAATAACAAAAATAATGTTTCTTTTTAGTTATGCTTTTTTTCCCCCAAATACCCCATTATAACCCAAGTTAACGGAGCTCTCTAACATGTCAAGTAATTGCACGATAAGTTGATATAGATGTGACAGGCCTAGATGTTCCAAGTGTGCTACATTTCTAGCTCATCTGTCAAGTAGTGAATCCAGCTCATGGAAACTAAAGATCATGCCCCCTCCCTGCTGTGGTCTAAACATTTAGAATGACTTTCACAACAATGTCTAATATCATGCTTGGTGCTAATGAAACTCCAATAACTTCCTTTCAACAGTAACTAGCCTTTTTAACTCACAACCTCACAGCGTGTTCGTCAGCTATCAATAATTTACGATTAGAAATCCTTCATAGATTACAATTCTGGAAGATACTTGTCAATGCCATAAAAGAAACCGAGAGCTATAAAATGTCATCTACAACCAAACCCCTTTAATAAATCAACAAGTCAGCCATGTCATTCACACAAGCCCTGATTCAGCACTAATAAAGCCAGTTTTCCATCATCAATTAATACAACAAAACTTACTTTCTATTCTGGAAATACAGAATAAACCTCATTAATGGAAAGTGTAAAGCACACACGCTTTCTGCACTTCTTTCAATTCGTTGCAGCAACAGTTTTTTTGCACTCTGTGGTCTGTTTGTGATATTCAGCAGCAACTAACGGCTCACAATCAACATGATTAACACAAACGTTTCACCTTAAACGCACTGGAAACTAAACTGGGACTTAAACTCAAGTGACGTTCCACCCTAGACTGAATGAAGTTATTCTAAAAGAAAACAGCTCTTGGATTGTGAACCATGATTATGTTTGAGTGCAGTACCTTGATGTATCCGCCAGTAGAGACGAGCACCCTGTTATCAGGAGAGAAGTGCAGATCAGTCACCCATCCGCCATGGTAGGAGTCCATCGAGTCTTTAGTGTCCCGAGAACAGATCTTCAGGAGAGCTCCATCCAGCATGCTCCACAGCTTTGAAGCAAAGCACAATACAACAAGTATATTATCAAAATAGATATTACACTCCACGAATGTAAAGTACATTCCACAAAGGGTTCTACAAACGTACTGTTTCTTGTATGAATTTAATCACAAAAATAGCTTCAGAAACTAGCACATCCCAAATGCAAATACCACCAGCACTAAAGCCTTTACACATAATACTTTGAGAAATGGCGAGTTAAAAATGCACAAATCAGTGCCAGTAAACACTGTTAAATAATAGAAACATGAGCTTTGAAAAACAGCACCACAGGCCATGAATTATAACATCACAGCATTTGATGTCTTTTTTTGGTGGTGCTTTCACTTCACCCATTTTCTTCTTTCCTTCTGTGAGCTGCATCTTTAATTGATGAGCTAGATCTTTACACTTCTGAGCACCGGGACCCGTCTCCCAGCAAGAAACAGAGCTCGGAGGGGGTGACAAGAAGAGGCACAGCTTTGAGGATTGTTCCATCAAGCGGTATTTGTCCCAATATTGCTTGATGCTACTTTTCTTATAATGGGACCGACTTAAGGTCCAACCAAAGTTGCAAACTGACTTTCAATTTTGTTCATTTCCATAGCATGCATACAACAAATAAAAACAAATAAATAGACCATTGAAAGGCATTTATTCTGTAAATGTATTTCCTGTTTTTGATATTCAGTCGTATTAGAAAGATGGGCTCAAACTCAATTGAGCGCATTCATTTATGCTCAGTTTTCCAATTCATGGACATCTTGATGTTATTTTGCATTTATGCAGTATACTAATATGCGTGTCAAAATAGAGAAGTAATACAATATACTCTGGTACATAAATTATGCATTACCTTTAATATTGCAATGCAACCATATATGGATGGGTCAGTTTAGGGCTGCACAATACATTATTACAGCATCGAACCCGCAATTCACATCACTGGATTACATTTATTAAACATGAAAATATAAAGATATTACTATTTTAATTATTTATAAAATGATGACCGTGTTATCCTCCGGATAACCATAAAGCACTGTTTAGTTTATATTTGCATTTGCTCGGAATTTATTATATTTTATGCAAACGCAAACAATTACATATTAAGCACTGGTGTACAACACGCACATACTATAACACTGCCAATATGAGCATTACACACAAAAAAAAAAAAAAAATTCTCCAAAAGTCCAGTTTTAAAATAAAGCACACTCAATAAGAAAAATCCCCACGATAACACTAAAGACTTCTGAAATTTAAGGTCATTACCAGACATTCCACTTCAAGGCTGTTGGAACTTTACTTACCCGGATTTCTCCATTGTCATCGCCAGTTGCAAGTCTCTTGTTGTCCCAAGAAAAACGGCAGCTACGAACGCAATCCTTGTGTCCCTCCAACAAAAATATCATTTTCCATGAGGCACTGCTCCACACCTTGAGAAAAAAAATAAATAAATAAAAAAGTTATAAAACCTTTACTGCATTACAACAAAAAACAAAACACTGCTAAATAATTTAAAGAAACTGTATAGTCAGTCAGAGATTAATAATACCAAACCAACAGGGTTAGGTAATAATTTTCCATTTTTGCCTGTTTTTTTTTGGTCATTAACTGAGGCAGATCCATTTGGCAAGAATTATTCTCTGATCAGCTTTGCCATAACTCTGTGATTGAGAAGTTCTGGCAGACAGACGAGAACATGGCGTCTCATTATAGAAAGCTCTTCTGGTAAAGGCGGCGTCACATGGAGCGAGTGAACTTCATCTCATTACACACTCGTGTGAGCGGACTGGACTCTGACCTCGGACACCTCCAACAGAAGATGTGCGCGCATTACGGAGGCTCTGTACTGCTCACACAGAGGTAATTAAGCAGAGTTTGGCTGTACATGCCGTCATTCACGCAAGCATCCTGGGTTCAGTAATGACACTCCAGATATTCACCCAGCAGAGCGTTCAAAAACTAGCAGTGTAACAGGAGCAGGTGTTCGCACAGTAAGAGTCCAGGATCTAAACACACAGGCAGCTGAAGCTGAAGAGAATAATGTGAAGGATATCTTGTTTGCTTTGTGCTCTCTCTGACCTTAGCAGTCCTATTAGCTGAGGTGGTGGCAAAGAGGCGTCCATCAGAGGACACATCACATGACAGGACGGCACCCTCATGACACACGAGGTCTTGCAGCATCTGCCCTCTGGTCAAATCCCAGACCTACAAACAAAAAGCAGAAGGCACTTTATAAAAATATGGTGTAACGTCCCACAATTCAATCTAAACCATATAAAAATGTAAATGGTTCAATCTAAAAATTCAATTACTAACTTAACATTACAGATAGTTGCCACGTCATAGTTTGATATTTTCAGTTAAACAACCTCACAATATAACAATTTTACTCACTTTTACTAGAAACGAGACAAACTAAGAAAAGGATCTAAAAACAAATCATGAAGCAAGTTTTTTTTTTGGTTGGAAATAGGATTGTTTTTCTTTTCCCACCGGCAGTGTTTGCCTAATACAAGGAAAACTCAATTCATTTGGACTAAATGCTTCTTGATTTTCTCCACCATTATGCAAGAACTTTAAAAGGAACATCTTAACTTTTGTTACATGTACATGACATTCAATAAGCTAAAATTAATATTTAAGACTTGGCCACATTTACAAGGATTTTACCAATAAACATTACATCAGCATGCTCATAAGGTAGTCTACTCTATTTTGCTATTAACACACATGCACATTTAAACCTCATATCAACTAAAAGTGAAAACTCACTGTAATTTACCTAGATCTTTAAAATCAACCAACTTTAGATCCTCTTTCCATAAACTGTTAAAAACTTGTCAAGTTTGAGCCCTATTTATTGATATTTACATGAAGATTTGACCCACACCAATTTCCCCCAAAATCCCTGACTACAATCGCCATGAACAAACCAAAACGTCTGTTTGGGAGATTTTAAAAACCTCTTTACAAGTAATTAACTGCATGCATCACCTAATTATCATTGTTAGCTCTGCTTTCTGTCCAAAGTTTGGCCTCGATAACCATGATTTTGCTCTAAAAGCAATGCAGTCCATTGAAATGGAGCTAAATGAGGTCTTGACGTCATCTTTCAAGCTCCACATGCTGCAAAGATTTTTTTTTGGAAATCAGAGAATGAGGCAAAGATGGTTTACCTTAACTGTGCCATCAAACGACCATGAGAACAGACGAGGAGAAGATGAAGAGCTCAAGAGGTGAAACTTCCTGACCGGCTCCATATGACCCTGCAGCACCATACACTCGCCGGTCCTCCACTTCCACACCTGCAGACATACACACATCTTCCGTGAATACTGAGGCTTTGAGATTCAAATACTTACAAATATATATTTACTACTATATAGTACTACTGTATTTTTCCAAGTGGGTTCAGAAGTTTTCCTCTGTTTGGTGCACCGTGAAACCTACGTAAATGAGTGCACTTGCTGATGTTGGTTTCATTTTCATTTTAAACGAGTGCTTTAAAATGTGGACTCCACATTTAAAATGAACTCCATTTTCAGATCTCTGAATTCATTTTGCAATTTGGTTGCTGACCTACGCAGCACTTCTGGAGGATGTCAATTTAAAAGGCCTTGTTTACAGTGTCTTTTGAACTGAATCTGCAGCTTGCCTATTACTGTTTTGTTTCAAAACTAATTAACCAGTCAGCAGCAGTCAACAAACCTTGAAGCATTTTTTCTACATTTAAAAGTCACATTTTATACTACTACTACGTTATAATAGGCCCATCCCCTGTAAGCCCATGCATTGTGTATTCAAATACTGACTTTCAGTCTGTGATGAGCATTCTACTACAAAAATTCTTAAACCGTATTAACATTCATCACCCTCTGTTTTTGCAGAATTTCAATGTGCATGCAGCTGTTCACAATCATCAATTACTAAAGTGTTTCTCTCCCTCCCGCATCCACTGCTTGTCATCAAAAATACAATGAATCAACGAGGCTTGTGATGATTCAGTGTCTAAAACTTCTCCAACTCTCAGAACAGCTGCAGCACAACTTTGAGCATGTGGTGCAATTACTAAACTGCACCTGCAAATCAGCGGACGTGTCATTTAACGCATCACAGCCAGACGATAATGCAAAAACTAACTTGTACAATAAAGCATCCAACAAAAAAACAACATCCTAATGAAAACAATGCAAAATGCCATTTAAATCACTTTCTCCTCTCTCTGTTCTAAAAAGAAAAAAGAGAAAGAAATTACCCGGATAGTGGAATCTTCTGAGGATGTTATAAGGATTTCACAGTCGTCAGTGAACTGGCAGTGGTGAACAGTCTTAGTGTGGCCTGAAAGCTTCACTGATGCCTTTGAAGAAGGAACCTCAATCACCTTCACACAAAGAAAAATTCAATATTAAACACTGTTCCAATGCAATGGTAACAAGACAAAAATAAAATGACCATTTAACAAATTTAATACACAGTTTGCATCTAAAAGACCTCAAAATCCTGAACTGCATTGAACGTTTAAATACAGGAAGCGCTAATAATAGCCATCCATCTATAGCGATAATCTCAAACTTGAGCAGTTCGTTCCACATTCCTCCAAATATGATTAAAAGTGTTTTATGGGAGCACGCTCGTGTGTCTGCCATTCAGAAAGGTGCTGCATCTGAAGCTTCAAAACTCAAACTTCAAAAGCTGCCTGGGGCCACGGGAGCGTGCGCTGTGTTTTTGGAGAGTAAATAAGAGGTATTTGCGCTTGCGGGCTGCTGTTCTGGTTTAGCGCGAGCGGCACTGCGGGATCAAATGCTGTCAAAATGCAGATTTACAAGTCACGGATAAATCTGTGCAGAACACACAAATAACTGTGTCAGCATTAACGACAACACTCACTTCAGAAATAAGCCGATTTGGTGCTCAAAGATTTCATGATGTTCCAATGTGCCACTTTTTTTGTGGGAAGTTGCATTTAGGTTTTTAATTTAACACTTCTGTGGGTTAAATTAAATTGTGACGTTGTAAATAAAAAGCGCTGTCAGGGTGAATGCCGTTCAGACATGCCGTTAGTCTCCATACCTGCACTGTACCTGTCTCTAGCCCTAATGCCATCACAAAATCACGCTGTATGTTCAGCAGCTGCAAGGCTCTCCATCCAACAGTCTTCAGAAACTGTCGAACTTTCAGCCTTCCTGTCTGTGCAAACATACAAAACATAGACCTCATCTCTCTACAGCAACCCTTCATTGTTCCACTGATGTCTGACTTTCCTTGAGGTGGGGGAGATTATGCAATTAATAAATACATAGTGCATCGTTATATGGCATCTATATTTCCTGCAAGATTAAAAATGAAATGCATTAGATGTCCATTTCACACTAGTTGCAATTTGGCGCCCTCTGGTGTCTTGGAACTTTGCAGGAAAAAAGATTTAGATTTGTTTAGATTAAACATAACTACAAACTGTAAATCCAGAAAATCCAAGAAAACACTAAAGTTAACTGAAGTGTTTAAGCATTACAAAAATAACCAAGTGTACGTGTGTACATAAACATTATTTGTCTCGGTCAACAACACATTGATTATATAATGAACCGATTATTTTCATCCATGTCACACTTTCTAAAATCTAAAATGTTTGTTTGGCAGTAGAGGAGGAGTGTGATATATGCGAGAACACACTTTCGTTCTGTCAGTCAGCTGTTACCTCCAGGCATCTTAACTGTCCCAAATATCCAGTACAACACAAGAGGACAACACCCGCCTCCAGCACCATCAAACACAGCAGAGAGTGAAGAAAACACTGACTGCAGATGACAGCCATGGCAAAATCTCATCGCCGGAGGACAGTCAAAACACCTACTAGCATCCCCTGAAGGTCTGACAGTGCTTCGCATGGCCAAAATGAAGGTAAGGTTTTTTTAAGAATTGGATTAGGTGAGGTGATGCACCTGTACTGTTCCGTCCTCAGATCCCAGAGCCACAAATGCAGCGTTTCTGCTGATGCACGAACAGCGGATCCTGGATGACAGCTCCTCGCTCTCAAGCACGACAGCACCTGTAGATCCACTCAGCACCTGTGACAGTTTGGTAGTAATAAATTAGTAGCTTAAAATTGAAATGATTAGAACTTGCCTCAAGACAAAAAGTTAAACTGATCTGTACAACAAAAAAAAAAAAAAACTATGTACAAAAATGTACCTCACCTCACACACAATGTTAATACATTTGATTCAACTTAATTCAAATACTACATGTTTAATAAAAAAAATTAATGATCAAATTCATTAATTGCTTGAAATTAATAAATTGATTAAAAATAAATAAATCTTGATATGAATTAATGTTAAATTTAAAATGCTCGCTTTTAAAATGTGAGAACGGCAGTAAAATAATTGAACCATTAAAAAATAAAAAATAAAAAAAAGGAACCGATTTTAATATTTCTTAACAAAAATAAACAGATCAAATGAGCAAAAAAATCCTAGTAAAAATGGCAGTACATCAACTAATTGCACTGGTCCCTTGTGTCCAGTACCTGTAATCTGTTACTGCTATCGGGTGCGATGATCGTAGCATCACTGTGAGAGAACAGCACATCAGTGTCCCTCTTCAGAGCCACAGCAGAAGAAGTGTGAACCCGGTCCGTCTCCCACAACTGGATAACATTCAACACTTCATGATCACAGGTCAGTGCTGTTCAAAAGATCGCTGTAATGCAACTGACACAACGCAGGGAAGACGGGAGTAAAAGCAACTCACCCTGATAGTCTGATCATCAGAGGAGGACAGCAGGAGTGAGCCGTCGGGTGAAAACTGCACACAGTGAACCCAGCTCAGATGACCACTGCATTCGGCTTTCTTCTTACTGCTTTCGAAGTTCCACAGCTGAAATAAACAACACTTCTTAGCACTTCACCACACTTATGCCAGCCAGAATTACTTCAACCAGAGTTAACAAAAAAAACAAAAAACACAAAAACATGGCTTCCCTACAATAAAATCAATCACTGATTTTATGATCACTTTCTTCAAAACCTATGGCTTTATTAGCTTCAATTATTGTATTTTGCTGTGAAAGCACTAAAAGTTTGTAAAATAGAACAAAACTACATATAAATATTTTTTTAATCTTAGAAGGACAGGACTTCCAAAATCCCAGAGGGACTGTGTAACAGCGTTAGAAAAAATTATACATGATTTATGAATAAAATAAAATTATTTAAATTAATTCAATCTAAAAAATATATATAAAATCTAAAATAAAACACTGGTTATGTTCAAAAACCTTAGAACAGTTATTGGCATACAGCAATAGGTTTTTAAATACGCACGCAAAAAGTTAAATTACACATTTTTATATCTCAGTTATGCTTGAATGGTTAATTACTTTAAGGATAGCATAGATTAACATCATACTACAACAATTGCAGTATCCATAGATGTTTCGCATGTCCAAAGTCTAGTCACTGCAGCTTTACATGTTAATTGCCATATCAGTAAATTATTGATGTTTAATAATGTTTTAAAGAAAGTCATGATCAGTTTTGTACCTCTACGGTGTAATGCGAGAGAGCGACGGCCAGCAGGCTGCTGTTAGGACACGCATGACAGAACTGAATAGTGCTCAGACGACTCGTCTTCAGCTCCAGCAGCAGGTCTGACGTCTCCACATCAAACACCTACACACAAACACACAACATACAATCAGAAAACAAACCAATCTCATCTAACAGCTTGAGTATGTTGAGTACGTAAGTTATGTTTTAGAAATACTTTCAAACTCAGCATTTATTACAGAAGATTAAGCCAGTTAAGCCTTTTAAACCAAATGTCTTAGTTTCTTCTGCTAACACCATTTCATATCCTGAAAACACTCAATCATTGACCTCCGTAGTAGAGGAAAAATACAATGGAAGTCAATCTCCAATGGTTTCCAACATAACTTAAATGTCTTCTTTTGTAATCAACAGAAGAAACAATGCCATGGAGAATTACATTTAATTTTAGGTTAAACTGGCTATTTAATTTTGACTGTGTGTGAATCAGATTTTAAAAAGGCTGTATTTACAGGCACCAAATCAAAAATATTGAGTGGCAGTGCCAGCTCATTTCACAGCAACCACTCATGAAATCACTTACAAACACTGTGTTTCTGGCAGCACAGATGATTTGTGAGCCGTCAGCCGACCAAGTGCTGCATTTCACCATGGCCTTTATTTCTTCGTCACTCTCAGGAAAAAAACTATCGACATCAATTGATTTCCACTCGTTCGCAGATGACACTTCAAACAGCTGACAAAAAAAAAAAAACACAATTTAAGTGGTTGGTGAGTTAGTATATTTCACCCCTCTACTTTATATAATATGGTTAGGTTTTCATTTATATTCTGACTGTCTATACCTGATCAGGTATTACTTATAAAATAATCTAGCATTTATTCTATTTATATTACAATTGTTCAAACTTCTTTAGATTTAATTTCTATAGTTTCTATAGTTTAGATATAAACTATCAACATGTAAGAAATTTATTACTGATAAAACCTTTAAATCTGACCAAGCATTTATCCATCTAGTTGATTTTAAACTAATACCCAGTTACTAACAAACAAAATATTCCTTAAAAAAATACATTAATGGAATCCATTTATATATAAATACTACATCAAATTTAAATTGCTAAATGCAATAATATAGCATTTTCGGGTACTCAAAATGGTTTCCTCAGCCACCACAGGCATGCAGGAATGCATTCTGCACCAGACCCACACACCAGCTAATTGATTGATAGAGGGATGAAGCCAATTAGATAATATGGGAATGATTGGGAGGCCATAATCGACAGGCTAGTGGGCAAGTTTGGCCAGGATGCCAGGCATACGCCCTTACTCTGATTATATAAATATAATGCATAATTAGATATGTTACAAATAAGACCAAAATTACATTAAAGCGATTAAATGTCAAACCAGATAAAAATAAAAGCATTGTATTTGATCTGTATATGTGGATTAAACTGATGATAAAAATCACATAAAAATCTGCACACCTTCAAGCTGCCATCACTGGATGAAGTGGCGAGGTAAAGGTCATTAGGAGAAAAACAGCAGTGATTGACCGGCTCCATGTGTCCAAACATAGTGTTCTGAGACGTCTTTTTGTTAGGGTTCCACAACTGCAGGAAACATGAAAATGAGATGAAATAAGGACACATGGAATATGAAATGGAAGATTGCTCAGTCAGAGCTTATTGAACAGGACGGCCTACATAAAGGAAGAACATATTTAGTCCGCATGAACCACCACGTGTTCAACACATCCACCGTTCCACTCTCTAAATCTCATTTCGGGGTGTTTCTTTTGCTCCTCGTGCACAGATATTCCACGAAATTCCCCTTTTGTGTTGACGCCTCCAATGGGGGGCTGCTCTCATTACGTTTTTGACACTTGCACGCTGTTTTCGCACCTCAAATGAATACAGCTCAACTAGAGTCTCCTGCTGTCACACTCCTACAGATCTCCCACAATTCTCTGCAAATTTCGCAAGCTGTAAGATTACACAGCTGCCCCGTTGGCCTGTTCGGAGAGATCGTCCTACCAGCTGTCACTCATTACTCATGTTCAGCAGATCTCAATCTAAATGTGGAGTTAGGAAATGAAAAGGGCAGGACAAGTGCAAATCAAATTTAATTGGCAAACTCTTTGGAGCTCCTCAACTACACACCTGAGTCCTGCGCTATGATGTACCGATGATTCTAAAAAGAAATTAAAAACTTCACTTTTTCCCCAAAAATGAATATTGGGAAATAAAACGCCTTCACTGATACCACTACTGAATTAACTTGAACATATTGAACAAATCAGGACTTTGAATCAATTTTAATTAAACACAATTACTAGCGTTAAAACAATTACTGTTCATACAACATAAATGTAGCCATCATGTAATAATAACAATAATTATTAGTTTAAAGACTGAATATTTTATTATTAAATTAGTATTCATTATTAATTTTCAAAACGACCACTCAGTACAAAATCTAACAAATAAGGTTTCTTTAGGTATTTATTAATTAATTATTGATAATAACATCCACATCATACTACTACTGTTACTGTTAGATACTTATGCTTTTTATACCATTTCTTTTGATTATTATAATTATAAAAACTAATTATTCTAATATTACTAAAGTAAAGATTTAAGAAACAAAAAAAAAAAAAGCATCACCTTGGTGTTAGTGAATTTGTCATTTGAGCAGGTGGCCAGCAGGACTCTTCGGCCTGTGTTGGTGAACTGGCAGTGGTTGATCTGCTCCTCGTGTTCAACTTCAAACTCTCTGATAAGAACACCTCGCTCAACATTCCACAACTAAAAAAAACCCAAAAACATAAATAAAAATCATGCATGACAGTGCACCATGAAATATAAATGTCAAACGATAAATGCTCTGTATTACAGATGCTCAAAAAAGTTAATTCATAAAAATCAAATACATAAAAATGACCCACAAATGGACACCACTGACCTTCACCTTCTTGTCACTGGCACATGTTGCTATATGCCGGTCATCAGGGGAAAAGGCACAGCATAAAACATCTTCCTCATGAGCCTGAAGCTCCAGAAGCTTCTCTCCAGAGGTTGATTTAAACACCTAGACAGAACAAATAAACAAATTTGGCAGTGGCATACGGTAATAATCACAGCGTCAGAACGAACAGCAGGACACAAATGGAGATTTACCCGAAGTGCCTTGCTGGCTCCACAAGAGGCAATTTTACTCCCGTCTTTTGAGAAGCAGGCATAGTAGACAGCCCCCTGGTGAGGGTGCATGACTAGCCGAGACAAACCCTCCTCAATATTTTTATTCCTATGGAGTAAAAAAAAAAAACAGGCTTTCAATGAAAATCTAGTCTCCCACAGAGAAGTTACTGAGTGTATTTACATGCATGCTCTTAACCTGATTATGCTTGAGCCAAAAAAATGCGCCTTCATTTAAACATTACTTTGATAAAGTTAGTCAAAAAACAATCGAGTTTTGTCCCTTATGCCAATTTCCCTCAGCATGTCAAAATGCATTAAATTGCTTTCTGTGGGTTATTGAAGTGTGTGTGAGATAAGTGACAGGAATGCATTATTACAACAGACAGAAGTACATACACTGAGCACATGATTTGCAGTAATGCGGGAGAACATATACCACAAACTCACTCCAGGAATTATAAAAATGTGTCCTCATCTTGCATCAAAAGAAAGTCTACAATAAACGTGTTTTAGCTGCTTGAGTATATACGAGCATCAAGCTTCTTAATGATTTTGTAATTTTTTTTATTTATTATTTATTGAACATGACAACAAACAAATATACTTGGCATTAGATTCACAAATCTATCTATACACATTATAATATATTGTATAATATTATGTAATGTAATATAACAATAGACCTTCAGAGACAGTTTCATATCATATATTTTAATTTTCATAAGTCATTGCAAGAAGAACTGTCCGACAAAATGTTTGACAGCAAGATGAATTTTGTAAAGTAATGTTTGTGTGAAAAAAAAAGTGTTTTCACTATGCTGATTTCTGGGATTTATTAGTGCATTTATAAGTGCAAGCATGCTGATTAAGAGAGAGAAACATACACCCAGTTGAGGTAGATCTGCCCTCTGCTGGCCCGTTTCTGCGCCTGCATCAGTGCCTGTCTGTAAACCTCTGAGCGATCGGGCTGAGACAGAGCCAACTGGACCACATCAGGGAACGGCCTCTGCTCCAGATGATGACCATTCAGAGAGAGGAACTCCTGAAACTGCACTCGCACTTCACTATTCTGAGTAAAAATACAACAATCATTTATTAGAGAAAATAAGTATCAGGGTGTTGCAATGGGTCAAGTTATAAGTGATTAACAATGCATTTATCTTCCTAATAATAAAGACATAAGCAGAAAATAAATGGTTTTGGTATGAATAGACCAAAAATAAAAAAAAATGAACAAATTATAGGTTAAATAAAAATGTTTCAAAATTAATAATAAGGGAATTTTTTTTTTTAAATTGACCAAATTGATAGATTATACAGTCTCAAATACAGTGATTTATGATCCATAGATACATTTTTAAATTATTTAATTTAAGAAGTTAATTTATAAATTAAGTAAAAACTAATTTAAAAAAGGCCAATATATAACAACATTAATACATGGATAATAGCCTATACAAATCATGGTTGACTAGTTATTTGGTCAAGAACATGCGCAAATGAGGAACAAAAAGTGAACCTGTAAATACCTCTTTATCTAGTATTTCCCCATATTCCACATAGTCATTGATGAGATGGGCAGATCCCATAATCCGAGCCTTCTCTTTGACCCAGTCCAAGGAAAACATCAATGAATAAAGCTCCTAAAAAGGTGGAGAAATTCTTCAAGATACAAAAGTTACAGTTTTAAATTTAATTGGCATTAGACTGCAGCATTACCTTCGACAGTCCTGCTTTAGCCATGTGATACGGGATGAACTGGTACCAGTACAACGAGTCTTTATCTGCAGAGTCAGGTGGGCGTTTACTGTAGAACCTCTGATACTGACGAACCATCTTTTTATGTAGTTCCTATAGGAGAAACTGACAATCAGACTTTGTTCTTTGGTGGTCTCTATTAAAATCAGAAGCAGGACAACTTACAGCAATCTGATCACGGTTTTGTTCAGCGAGGAAATCCAGCTGCAGATCATGAAGGTAATATCGATACGGTCGCTGATTACAGTCCCGAAAAAGCAGAGATTTATTGACAAACTCCTGCAGGACGTCCTCTACCTCCTCCAGCTCAAGACCCCACAGAACAGACAGAACCTGTTGGAGAGAAACCAACACCTAAGTCCAACATAAACTCTAAATCTGAACCAATTCTTAAAATGCGGTCAACTGACCTTAGCAGGCACTTTGATGTCTTTCTGCATGACGCTCAGGTCTCTGTACAGCTCTTGGTGTTCGGCCTCCAGAACCTGCAGGCTAGCGTCCATGGCCTGGTCCAGTGCTTCATAGTCATAGGATGAAGACTTGCGAATGCGCTTGAACTGCTTCTGCTGCAACTGTCGCAGGTAATAGCTCCAGCGGTCAGGGAACTCCCTCAGCAGAGCTCCAATCAGAGAAACCACCAGAGGAGAACCTGACAAGAGATGTTCACAGCGGTCAGGGGTTAAAACTACTAAATCTACAAATAATTTATTTACTGATAATTAATAAATGACTAACACTCAAATGTCAATATTAGATGCACAAAGGAATTATTTAATAAATAAAACTATAAAATACATCAATAGTACAATTCTAAATGGATAAAATATTACGTTTTACAAAATTGTGCACCCCTTGCTATAAAATATTGCGGTACATAATGCATTAAATTACTACAAATTAAATGACATCTACATTAAACCGGAGAAAAAAAAAGGTAGATAAATGAAATGCATTGTGTACTGTATAGTGAGCAAGGGTAAAAAGCAGAGTTGTACCTTTACATTCGCTTACAATGCTGCGGGCCTGTTCTGGGAGTTTGTGCATCTTCCCATTAACGTACAAAGCAAGAATTTCCAAGGCTTTTTCCTCATCCAGACCGTTCTCTACAGGCACTTCATACCTTACACCTTAAGCAGAACACACACAAACCTGTTGAACTCTTACTTCTGAATGAAATTGACATTAAACAAATTACGCAAGATAAAAAGCAACTACACGAACCACAGAAGAACATTTCTCTCATAACCTCTGCTGAAAATAGCTTATCTCTAAAACACAGCTGTTCTGTTATCAGAGTTTTGTGTAATTTCATTTAGTTCATTATTTGCCTTGGATTTAATTCAAAACCCAGGCAAGAGCAGGAACAAGACCCACAAAGTCATGAGCTAACCTAGACTTTCAAGAATAATGAATGCATGCATGGTGGGCAAAACTGAAGTACTCACCGCTGACGGAATCAGTCAGAGCTCGATTGCGTGTGGTCAGAAGAACTCTGCATTGGATATCAAAAGACCTGAGGGAAGAACTGTCCCAGACATCATCCAGAATCAGCAGAGACCTGACAGAGGCACATGTTGAGGACAAAGTTATATAAAACACTTAAAAAACAAATAAAATAAATCACTGACTTTTATTTTCAGAGTTAGGTCTAACATCACGTCACTTTTTTCAAGTCCAAACACCATTAGATGCCAATTTTATTTGCTTGTTTTAATGCCATAGCAGCATTGGCTAAATACATGGCACCATTGGTAATAAATATTCAAATTATAATTTACAATCATAACAGTTATTAACATGCATTACAGAAAATAAATACAGACAACACCACTGATAACATGTTTTTAATTTGATCAATCATAAATGGTTAAATTCCTCCAGGAGGCACCTTTATAAACATTTCCATTAAATTATTTCCATCGAATGCCATATTAGTATTCATTTTTAGCTCAGAGTATTCTGTATTACTATTGAACGTCATGATCTTAAAGTATGTTTTCATCCACACCTAATCTCAGGTACTGTAGTGATTCACCTTTGATGAATAGTTAAAATATGAAGCTCTGAGGTGTAGCAAGTCCACAGACGGTAGGTAGACCATGATTTTGTAAGATCCACTTTAATGTGCGGTTATGACCCAGTAGCAGCTACTTTTAATTAATAGTTAATTTTTTTTTATTTAAATTAATAAAGGCTTGGACCAGGAAACACTATTCCATGATGTACTATGTTCTTCCAAGCGAACTGACCTGGGGAATCTGCGGAGCATTAGGAAGCGCAGGCGCTCTTTGGCCTCCTCCACAGTGCTGGGTGGCCGCTGACTGGTGTCTGAACTTTGACACTGCTCCAAACGAAAGCACAGAGACTGCATCCTAACCAACAGGTCTGCCCGCTCACACTGACCCACAGACAGCCAGTGAACACCATCAGGAAAACACTCTGGAGAACAGAGACAAAAATACATTCACGTACACTGTACTCTGTGCATTTTTTTAGTCCTTTGGTCTTAAAGAATAAAATTAAATAAACTTAAAAAAATTAAAAAATGTTTGCTCAAACTTTTTTTTTTTTTTTTAAATGCAATGTTTTTTTATAAAAGCAAATTCAGACAAAGCCAAAAAAATCGTAACTACAACAAAATTAAAATAAGTAAAATATAAATACAAAAACAGAGATAATTCTTAAACTTAAAGCTACAAATAAAAACCATTAAATAAAATTAAAAATACAAAAGACTATAATAAACAAATGAAAAAAAACAAACTAAAAATTACTAATAAAAACACTTTGAAATAAAACCTTAGTTTAACAATAAAACAAATAACATTTCAACCAAATATAAAATAAAATAATATAAATACATGACGCAAACTAAAATGAACACAATAAAACCTCAATTAAAATAAATCCGAAAACAAATTACAAATAGAATAAAATCTTTATTTAAAAAAAAAAAAAATGTACTAAACGTTTGGATAAATGTAAATAAACAACACATCATTACCCTTAATGAGTGAACGATCTCGAACAACCTCGGCAGCCATCACAGACTTCCCTGAGCCAGCCATGCCAAATACAGTTACCCAGCCCGGTGTGTCCCGCAGCCGGTACAGCATCTCCCGGATCAGATTGAGCAGTGGAGGTCGACTCACGAACACCACAGGTCTCTGAGGAACACCTCCTACACTCAGAATCGCCTGGACTGAAACCAAAGCAAAGAAAACCTCTAGTACCTCACACATAAAGCCACTTGAAAAAACAAGTTCAAACACAACTGAGCTTTTACCAGAGGGAGAGACTCCATCAGCGAAGCTCTTCTCTCCCTCAGGGCTGAGCAGAGGCAAATCACTGTGAAGGAGACTGGCCAGATCTCCATAACTCTCCCTGATCAGGGCGTTGTAGAAGGAAATGTAGGCACGATTGTCTTTCCTCAACAGGGTCTCAAGCAGAGCCACGGCCTGCTCTTTTCTAGTGGCCTGGAGAAACAAAAATGGGAAAATTTCACACATATTCACTTTTTATTAGTGCTTTGCAAAAATTAATTCAATTCATCTTGATTTCTACAGCGCTTTTACAATGCAGATTGTCTCAAAGCAGCTTAATATAGAAGTTCTAGTGAATTAAAACTGCTTCAGTTCAGCTTAGATTTACATGTATACACATTTAATTTTTTATTCATTTATTTTTGTACATACAATGCACACGTGTGTGTGAATGTGTGTGCGTGTGTATGTATATGTATTATATATATATATATATATATATATATATATATATATATATATATATATATATATATATATATATATATATATATATATATATGAACATCAGAGACCTTGCTGAGCACTTTTGCTTCCTCATCATTGGTTAGAACGCCATCGCTGATCATGTGGTCCATCAGGTAGGAGGCTTTGATGTCCTGCTCCAGAGTGGCTTTGGAGCGCAGCAGGCGGCTGCGGGCACGTTCCTCCATCTCCACATAAGCCGCAGTGCTCGTCTGAGAAACACTGCACTTAATTTTGATTTACTTAGTGCAACGAAGCGGGATGCATGAAACTAAGTGGGAGAGAATAAACAAATAAAGCATTTTATTTGCTTATGCAAGGGCCATATTATTTCTGTCAACTCAGAGCAGTGCAGAACTGACGTTTCTATGGAACTAAAAATAAAAATAGCAAAATCTGAATTGCTATGTCATTGGAAGCTCATTTAGCTGTGGTGACCCCTGATGAAGCAGGGACTGAATCAAAAGAACCTGTGAGTGAATTGAGACACTTGGAATTCTAAAGAAATGTTTCATGCAATATTTTTTTTGTCAGTTCAGACAATTGCCTCAATTCAGAGAAAAGAAACTGAGATGCAAAACTCAAACGTCAAACAAAATGAGAAACTTTAAAAATCCCAACTCTCAAAACATTAAAACTTCACTTTTTTCAGTTTGTAGGGTGATACAACATTGTTCTGAAATGCAATCTGTATATTCAATATTTCATTACAGAAGTCTGACTTTGTCTCAATTCTAACATCAAATATAATTTAAAGTCAAGTCAAAACTGCAAAGTTGCAACTATGTGAAAGCCAGTATTAAGAAAACTGCAGATCAAAGATCAAAACATATAACACAAACTTGCAATTGCGAAATCAATTCTGTCTAAAGAAAGAGAAATAGTCAGAAGTCTTTAAGCACCAGGTTCAAGTAGATGTAGGCATCAACTGTGCTATCAACTTAATAATAACAATAATTTGATCCCAGCTTCTGATTGCTCATTAAATCCCCTAAATAAACAGTATTGGCTAAAATCCCATTCCTGCTCAATTGTCTAACATTAAAATTCCATAAACCAGATCTATAATACCTAATCAAGTCAAAGGATGACACAAATATTGAGCCAACATTTCAATAAGTATGAAAAAAACATGCCAGCAGCGAATAATAACGATCAAATAATTACATAGTAACGTGCAATTAGGCCGCAATTATCTACTGGCAGAAAACTTGGTTAAAACTAGCATTAAAGTCAATAATAAACTAACGTTTAGTGACTAATTGCATTCTTATTTAATTGTAAAACGTATACGTCATAGTCACGCTACGTTACTAACTACATATCAACTATTATAAACCATTTAAGTAAATCGTTCGTGAACAATTTAGCTGGTGTACGTAAATACAAACAGAAGAAATATAGCAGTTGACTTTACTAACTCGCCAAGTCACGGATCTAAACATAACAAAAACGTGAAGTTACCTTTTTAGCAAAACTCTGATCTTAAATCTAGAAGTGAAACTTGTAATACATACTGGTGTGGTCTTATGTAGGTCAAGTACTTACTGTCATGTCACTGTGTCACGATATACAAAATAATAAATGAGAAAAGGGTCACGACAAAAAGTTTGGGCGTGAAGCTCCTGAGACACGAAGAGAAAAGCAAATGAGTTCGACATAACGTTACTTAATTTATAGACTCAGGTGCGGCCCATTAGCGCATAGTGCCGATTACCAACTGACTTCTGATCAGTTAGTCAAGCAGAGACAGGAGACCTAAATGAATTATAAAAGACACAAGTATACTTACAGTTATTGCGCTTCGCGAAAAAAGGGATATGAGAGGCGATTGTCTGCTGTACTGAGACCAGTTACTTTTCGCGATATATTGTAAAGGAAAATAGTTATTAAAAAGCCAATTGTCCGCCCTTTAAAATTTGCGCTTCCTGCTTTTTCGACACAAACAACTTCCCCGGGGTGTGATGACGAATAGCGAAGCGCCGTGTTGTCACGTGACCCGATGAGGTAATCAGAGTTGGATGACTGTAACCAGGCAGACGCAAACATGCACGGACACTAACACGTCTTTCTTTACCAAAAATGAATACATTTTAATTTTAAAAATATTATTATAAATTGTTAATTATAACAACAAGTCGTACATTTATGTATAATAGTATTTTTGTGTGTGCACTGCATGATAAATATGCTACTTCACTTTTTTATTTAGGATTTCATAATTTAGCCTAATGCTTAATAAGGATATGTTTGTGGGAAATTGTGGAAGAAAGTAGGCTGCGTGTTTGTTTGAATTGTTTATTATTAGCTGATCATCAAAGTGTCCCGTTTCATTCTTTTCCAATATATACATTTTGCCTATAGTAATTCAATTAGCCTACATTATTTTACACATAAATAGATTTATACATTTATTTAAAAATATCCATGTGATGTTTGTACAGGATTTTTTATTTTCGTTTAGCTGTATGTTAAAGACATGCAATAAAACAGGGGTCATTCTACCAGAAATGTACATCATCCTTAAAATAAAAACATAAATACAGTGAATAAAAAGAATTTCATCCCCCGCAAAAAAAAATAAATAAAATCTAAAAATGAACTGATGGCTGATTTCTGTGAGTTGTTCTGTAAAGGAAAATGTCATTCATTTGGTTCTCAGATTTTTATTTTTTTGTTCTTTATTAAAACACGTTACAAATGTACAGACCCTGTCAATGTCCTTGGCCCAATTGAACCGACAGCTTTAACAGTTTTTGTTACGCTAAAAACTGTTACTTAGAAAAACACTTCAGAAATAGCAAGGTTAATTTGTTATCATTCACATAAGTTGATTAAAAACATGAAACTATCATTAAATTCTACAAATAAATACTATTTTACAATTATCCCCATGTTTCTGTCAGTCCAATCACAAGTGCGAGCATTACACCTTTAAGAGGAGAAGCTGACAGTGATCAAGGATGCATTCTTGAATTGTATGATTTTCTGTGGAGAAAAGTCATGCCCTGTCACGTTTTTATAAGTGAAAATCTTCTTTTCTGGTAGAATGTCCCATAGAAGTTGCCTGCAACGTTTATTTATAAATTCCTTCATTAGATTACAAGTAAGTTACAAATTTTTAACACAACTTAACTAGTTGGGTGACAGTATTCACATTGACGTAAACACATCCGGACACTTTACACACCTTTCTTTACCAAAGATTAATAGCCTACATTTGAATTTCACTATTAAAATATTATTATATAATGTTAATCACAATAAGTCGTACATTTATGTATATAAGTATTTTTGTGTGTTTATTGCATGCATGGTAAATAGGCTATGACTCAGAGCAAGCAACATCATTTGACAGAGGAGAAGCTGACAGTAATCAAGCATATGTCCTATAATTGAATTGTATGATTTTATGCTTGTTTATGTGTGATTTTTTTTTAAGAAGTGCAAGCTTAAAGGTCAGACCCTGTCACGTTTTTATAAGAGAAAATGTATGTTGCAGCTAAAATGTCCCTTAGAAGTTGCCTGATATTTTTATTTGTAAATTCCTTCCATACATTGCAATTCACTTACACATTTTTAACACAACTTAATCAGTCATGCAGTAACTCAATTAAGAAACAGGTCAGATTACTGCGCTAAAAAGAGATACACACTACAGGTTATTTATATAGTAGAATAATACAAATTTGAAAGTCTAAAATGTTTTATACAATGGTTTTCTGGCTGATGGAGTCCAAATAGTCGTATAACAATTATGTTTAGACCATAGCAAATGTCATTGAGTCTTTTCAGTTAATAGTTCCATATCTTAAGTAGCTCATATAAAGTTAATGAGATGTGCTTTCTATTTTGCTATGGAAACTGAATAGTCTTAAAGCATATAAATCACAGTCCTACTGACATATGTTGAAGAATTCATACATTGCACAATACCGTCGGAGCTTACTGTGTTGTCTGCTTGCTTATATGCTAATAGCACTAATGCCTCCACATTCCTGACCATTATCACCTGTCCCTCAGGCAGCATGCAGAAATTGGAGCAAAAGGAAAGCACAGAAATTATAACAGGACCAGTTATGTGTATTTTATCAATGAAAACATGCTGATCAAACATCGCTACACAAATACCTCTGAAATATCAAGTACATTTAATTCCTTAATTAATCTTTTTTTATAATTAATATAGCATAATAATTGTATAACAGGTGAAAAACTGAATAATTTGACCTTTTATTTGAATGGGGTCTTGGTGATGTTTCCACTTCAGATAAATGACTATTGGTAAAACAATGCTTGCATGTTGCACTGCTGACTCTGATGACGAATAGGTCATATTTCCTTTAAATGTACACCCTGGCCTGACATGGAAGCGAACACATTGGCAAACAAAGTAGTTTTTTTTACAGTTTTACTGGCACACAAAAGTGTTCTTGAAGCTTCTAATGGCTACAGTTAGACCACTGAAGTAACATGGACTGTATGGATGATGTTTTTGGTTCCTTTTTCAGAACTTTGAATGCCTCTGGACCACTGCTGCCTATGGAGGATGAGAGAGCTCTCCGGTTCCATTTAAAATACTTTAATTTGTGGTGATCTGAAGATAATTGAAGGGCTCAGGGGATTGGAGCTACAGTACATGAAAGTAAGTAATTATTTCATTGTCGGGTGAACTAACCCTTTAAGCACCGCTGAAACTGATATTGTAATGTTAAAATGGGTCCTACACAGTAAAAAATGCAGGATCCACACAATTCATTCATGTTGTCCCAACACAAATTAGGTTAACCTAACATTTTTAACAAATCCATGTGGATTGAACATAAAAAATTAATTTGTCCGAATGAAATCTCAAGAATTGTGTTGTTCCAACTCATTTTAATCTAGTAGTTTGAACGCACAAAAAAAAAAGTGTACAGGATTAATTCTTTGAGACAGATTCAACAAGACACTTTAAAACATTCCTCCTATATTAATCCATATTGACATGGCAGCATTCATGTGATTGCCATGTTCAAAAAACCTGTTTGAGACGATTTAAAGCTGTATATGGCACATCATATCCTGCTAGAAGTCGCCATGAACTGATGGGTTGACTGTGGTTATAAAGGGGTAGACATGGTCAACAACAGAAACTGTGGCTCAATTTGAACTAAGGGGTCCATAGCGTACCACAAAAATCCTCCACACCATTACACCAGCAGCCTGAAGCACTGATCCACAGCAGGATGGATCCAAGCTTTTATTGTTTATGACAAATTCTGACTGAAAGTCTGATACCATCTGAATGTTGCAGCAGAAATGGAGACTCATCAGATTAGGAACCTTTCACTAGTTTTGATGAATTATAATATCAGTTTGCTGTTCTTATCTGATCAGTTTGCTGTGTCACTTCTTCTCCGATGCTGTTTGTTCAACTGCTTATTTAAACTGAGCTGAAATAACACAATTGTCTAGTTTTAGGGGATAATTTAGTTGTTTTATGTTCAATCCACTGATATTTGTAAAAACTAACAAGTTAACTCATGTTTTCATGTTCAAAAAACCTTCATGTTTTCCCTACACAAATTGATTGTGTGGAACCCAGCATTTTGACAGTCTGTGCTTCAAGAATCATGTGTGTTCAGAGATGCTCCAGTGGTGCAATGAGTGCTTATTTGAGTCCTAAAAACATCAAGTATTTAAACCTACACAACTGACGCTTACTGGATATACTGGACACTTTTTCCGACTATTCTCTTTAAACCCTACAGATTGTTTGATCTGTGACAATCCCTGCTTATTAAAAACTCAAACCAGACCATCTGACACGAACAACCATGCTACATTCAGAGTCATTTAATCACATTTCTCCCCTTTTATGTTATATTTTCGCTTTACCTAAAGAACATCTATATTGAAGTTCATGCTCTCATTTGTTATGAATTTAGGGTATGACTACCCCAGTACTACTGCAGGTTAAAACAAACAGTTAGTCTATTTGTTCTGATTATACATAGAAACTATTTACACACAAATCACGCCATCTCACTAAATCCTTATTTGAAGAGGATTATGAAAAATATAGTCACCACCAGTGTTCTTTTAATTCTTTACATATGAGTCAAATAGAGCCTCTTAGCTTCGTAAAACATTGAATACTAAAGAAAAGTAACCATCATAAAACACCAAACTTTTCAAAATAACAACACCATATACTATCAATAATTTCTTACTCAGTTCATTGATTATTTAGCATGTTCAGTCATCTTGATAAATGTAACCTTTAGTTGTGTTATTCTCAAAATGTTTTTGTACAACAAAAAGTACAATTACTCAATTCCCCTGAGCTGATTTATACAGAACTGTTGAATTTATGTCCAGCTGTTAAAGAGATAGTTCACCCAAAAATCTAAATGTTGCAATGACAGAACAGTCTTATTTCATCATATACTATAATAAAGCCATCTATTGCACAATCGTCCATCGGCTAGTAATTTAAGTATTTTGTAAAGGGTAAGATTAACAAAAAATAAACAAATATATAAAAATAAGATTTTAAAAAATTGTCTTTCAAGATACATTATCCAAAAACTCCCACAGAGGATGCCAAAAAGATTTCTGATGCAAGTCCTAAGTCAGTTTTTCTAAGGTTAAGAAAATGGCAATCTGAAATATCCACATATTGACCGATGAATGTTAGGAGAATGTTAGGAGAAGACCACAACAAAAAAATAAATTTTCTTGCTGGATACATACAAAGGTGTAACAGATTCTAGTCCATGACTAAGGTGTAGAACAGTTTTACATTTCAGAAGATAAATAGCTGGAAACAGGGCAAAACGTTTACCAATAATCTTCTGAACTAATTTGTGGATTTCTTTCCAGTATATCTTAATCATATTAAGTCCCATGAATGCATCACAGTAGCAACATTGGATTTGCACTTAAAACAACATTGAGAAACATTTGTTAGTTTCTTTATTCTGTTGAACACAGAAGAAGATGCTTTTAAATATGTTGGAAACCCGCAACCACTGACGCCCTGCTATGGAAGTCAAGGCTTTTAGCTTTCTTCAAACTATCTTCTTTCGTGTTCAACAGAATGACAAACCAGGTTTGAAACCACTTGAGGGCGAGTAAATAGTGAGTAAATTGTTTTTTTTGAGAGAACTATCTCTTGATAGCAACTATAAGTAATTAAATTGCCTAAAAATGCAAACGAATCCCTTACTTTATCAGTTTCTAAGTAATTTAATCACAGTAACTACTTGTAAGTAATTACACCCAACATTGGTAATCACTTTATCGCCACTGGATAAAAAAAACTCAAGTGTACGAGCATTTTATCGAACGTATGACCGAACGCCTGACGTGTGTGAACACAGGTAGGCTAGTTGAAGTGTTGAGCACCACTTTGCGCCTTGTGCGTCAGCGCTCAACCGCAGGAGTCAAACACCTCTGACATAACACACAAAATCACGCTCATTAAATTCTCCGAGTTTGGATTGAATTAACAATGGCCGATAACCTGAACTGCAGCGCTGGGAACTGCTCCAGCGCGCACGACGCCTTTGGTTTATCCGACGGACACTTCGCGCTCGTCAAAGCTGCAGTTCTGGGATGCGTTTTCGTGCTGGCAACATGTAGCAATTTATTCCTGCTCCACGCCCTCTGGAAAAGGAGAAAGCGACACACTCGAACTCAACTGTTTCTTCTCCACCTGTGTCTGGCAGACCTGGTGGTCGCCTTCTTCCAAGTCCTGCCGCAGCTCTCCATGGAAATTACGCACAGGTTCAGAGGCTCTGATCTGGTGTGCAGATCTGTCAAGTATCTTCAAGTGGTCGGGATGTTCGCGTCCTCGTATATGATCGTGGCCATGACCATAGATCGCTACCACGCGGTCTGCAAACCCATGGTGTCGTTTTTTCGGGGGTCTTTCCGCAGGTACGTGTCCATAAGCGCCGCTTGGCTGATTTCGCTGGCGTTCAGCGCGCCGCAGATCTTCATCTTCTCCCTCCAAGAAGTTGAAAAGGATGTTTTCGACTGCTGGGCGACGTTTATCGAGCCTTGGGGAGGGAGAATATACATAACGTGGATCACCCTGTCCGTGTTTGTCCTGCCAGCTGTGATCTTGATGTTTTGTCAGATCAAGATTTGCGCAGGGATTTATTTCAACATGAAGAGGAAAGCGTTGCAGGGCAGCGCTGGTGATGGGCGCTCAAGCACTAAGGGGATCTCCAGCGCGATGTTGAAGACTGTCAAGATGACTTTTATCATTATTTTGGTTTATACTCTGTGCTGGAGCCCGTTCTTTGTGGTGCAGCTCTGGTCAGCTTGGAGTCCGAGCAGCGCACCGACGCAAGGTAGGGAAAAGTGATGCCTAAAAGTCTGACGTACTTCTATTGTGCAGTTCTATGAGTTATTACAACATAATACACCCTAACTATTTAAGTGTAAAGTTGCAATAAAAAAAATAATAAAAAAGAGCATTTAATTTAGTTTTTGCATTAATGACAGAAGTGTGAACTCGTGTTATAATCGTGTTCTACAGGGTAATTCAGAGAGCATCTTGAATGTCACTGGAATATTGAACTGTCTGATCATCATGAATGCCATAATATGTGACTCGCCTACCTGTTGGAAAATTATAAATCTCCTTTAAAACGATCTTTTTTTTTTTTTTTAATTTTGTAAACATTTCCAGACATTTTCACCTTATTTTATTTTTTTATGTCCAGGTTTAAAAAAATAAAAATCATCCCTCTGTCTGTCCAAACACCAACAAACATAGTGCAAGATCCTAAATATGTATTTTCAATAAATATTTGTTATCATAAAATGAAATTAGAATGAAATATTATATATATATATATATATATATATATATATATATATATATATATATATATATATATATATATATATATATATATATATATATACTGCATTTAATATTTTACTTACATTTACATTTCATTTAAATTATCAGGTGTACACTTATAAAAATTATTTATGATGAACTATTTTTGATTTTTTATTGCTTTTCAAACTAAACAATAATGAATAAATTAACATTTAAACTCAATCTGGTTAAATTACATCAAGAATAAGAGAATATTAAATATTTTTTTCAATTTAACATTGCTATATTTTAGCTGTTGCAAAAAATATATATATAAATATTAAGTAATATATTTACGATAATTTATGTGACTAAAGGACCAATGAGTCATCATACAGTATGATTAGTCACAGCTATTGTTCTCTTGTGTTAACTGTCTATTTCCCCACAGCAGCAAATCTAGCAGAAACACCTTCACTAAATCCATTCATTAGTAGCCCTCAAAAGACCTGATCTGATTAAACCGCATTATGTTTTGCTGGTCTGGAAGACACCAGATGGTGCACTCAGGCAATACTTTCGCCCAGAAGAGCTTCAGAGTTTGGACAAGTCCAATATAGAAGCAGATTTTTTTGTTTGTTTTGTCTTTATTTAAAAAGTCTCATATCTTCTACAGGGCCGGTATTTGTGACCATCATGCTCCTCGCCAGCCTCAACAGCTGCACAAACCCATGGATCTACCTGTACTACAGCTAAAACCTCACTGAAGAGGCTGTGATTAATCCAATTCTTTCATAAAGTGAAGTGGTTTTGGCATGGGCAACAAGAGAAATATAGCATTAGTACTTCAGTTAAGAGGTCAAGTATCTTTTAATTGCTGCATGTACTGAGCTGTACAATGAAAGGTAATGTAGATATTATTTTTTCTTGGACTTTCTGACAAAACTGCACTAGCCATTCTGCAAGTGACTCATTTGCATCATAAAGTCTTGTATTTTTCATAAAACGGATCTGATTTAAAGTAAATTAAGCTATGATTAGTGCATAATTATTTCCAAGAATAAGTATGTATAGAAAAAGGTTTCATCATACTGTACTGTGTGCAGCATGCGATAGCTGTTAAATGTATTTTTGATTGTACAGGTCACATTTTTATTTGTCTTTTGTTTAATTTATGAAGTATGAACAGTTGTAGGTCAGTGCAGTGCATTCGCTGTTATTAAAGTATTGTTACTTTTTCCAATGCACATTTAAATAAAAATGCAAATCGGCTTGTAGAAAACTTTCTATAGGATTAACATTTTGTGTGACGGTTTCCATAGTCACTATGCAATTTTGATCATACTTTTTCACACACTAATTTATTCTCACTACAAAGCCTGTTTCGTCTGAAAGTGGTTTTCAAAATTCTTTTAAACGAAGCCCAGTCAAATGAAACGAGAAATACAAATTCACACAAATATCAGTTATGATTCTCAGCAATCACACTAAAAATCTCATTTCCCTCCAGAAATGTCTCCCTCTTTCTAATTCCTCCCTGTTCACATCAATAATAAAGTGATATTAAATATTTAAGACATCTGAATATAGTTCTTCACACATTCGGAGGTTAAAAGTGGACCATATATTACATTATTTCAATAGGTAAGACCATAATTGCACACCAATATGTGAAATAATAATAAAAAAGATGAGCATTCGTATGAAAGAGAATGAGCAATATTAACTTATGAAGTGGTCTCAGTGGTTATGGATGATTGTAAAAGCCTTATAAAAAGCTTCTAACCTTTATCAAACTGTCCATTGGCACAATGGTCAGCGCACAAACTTGAACCTAAATGAAGGCCTAAGGCACCTGTATCCAAGGTAGCTGTTGGGAAATGGGATTAGAACATATTTAAAGGCTGATAAAAAATGGTTGAAACCTTTGTAGCCAAAGGTCAGGAGGGAAGGAGAAAAAGGCAGTATTTTATGCTCTTTAATGAATACAGTAAGGTGGTAATAAGGAAATGGCTTCTGAGCAATAAGAAAATTAGAGTGGATAAGGCTGCATTATAACACAAAGAACATTGACAATGATACGGTCTGACTTACTAATACATTTGAAGAATGCTGCACTTATCAGCTTTTCTTTTTTTCAGTTGTTTATATTAGCTTGAACTGAAATAAGGGCGCAATTTTATCACAATCACACACACTGAAATGTTAATCTGCGTATAGGTTAAATACCAAAAACAAATCTGGTAAGACATATTGAAAATCATTTGATTACAGAGTAGAATTAAGATCTTATCTAAAGGGGAATTCAATTACAAAATGATTTTTGTTGTTGATTTTTGTTGATGATAATAAAGTACCAGAGCTTATATGAGGGTATACTGTATATACAGTGATGTGAAAAATTATTTGGCCCCTTACTGATTTTTCTTTTTCAGATCATCAAACAAATTTAAAGATACGAAAATAAACATATCACACAGTTTTTAAAATAAAGGTTATATTATGTATAATTAAGGGACAACAAAATCCAAAACTACATAATAAAAAGTGGTTGGCCCCTTCTGTTAAAACAAAACTCTGGTTTATCACACCTGAATTCAAATTCTTAATTAAAAAAATTACTGCCACACCTGTATGCAATCAAGAAACAATTTAAATTGGACTTAACTGACAAAGTGAAGTAGACCAAAAGATCCTTAAATGCTACGTCACATGATGAGATTCAAAGAAGTTCAAAAACAAATGAGAAAGATAACAATTCAGATCTACCAGTCTGGAAGAGGTTATAACTACAATGACTGCAGTGAACCACAGCGAGAGCCTTTATCCACAAATGGCAAAAAGTGGAGAATCTTCCCATGAATGACTGGCCAACCAAAATTACACCAAGAGCTCAGCGATAGCTCATCCAAGAGGTCACAAAAGACCCCACAGCAACATCTAAAGAACAGCAGGCCTCACACGCCTTAGTTAATGTGAGTGTTCAGGACTTCACCATAAGAAAGAAACTGGGCAAAATGGTTTGCATGGCAGAGTTTCAAGACAAAACCCACTGCTGAACTAAAAAAATATAAGGGCTTGTCTTAGTTTTGTCATAAAACATCTTGGTGATGCCCAAATCTTTTGGGAAAATACTGTGGACTAGGAACGCTTTTGGAAGGCATGTGTCCCATTTTGTGTGCCATAAAAGTAACACTACACTTCAGAAAAAGAACATCATAATAGTAAAAATGGGTGTGGAGAATGTCCGGCTATCTGTAAGTGACCTCAAGCTGAAGCAAACTTGGGTTCTGCAGCAGGACAATGAACTAAAGCAAACCAGCAAGTCCACTTCAGAATGATTATAGAAACGTTGGAATGGCCTAGTCAAAGTCCTGACCTGAATATGCTGTGGCCTGACCTTAAAAAGGCAATTCATGTTCGAAAACCCTTTAATTTGGCTGAATTAAAACAACTCCGCAAAGATGAGAGTGCTGTAACAAGCGCATTGCAAGTTATTGAAAATGCTCGATTGCAGTTGCTGCTGCTAAGAGTGACCCAACCAGTTATTGGGTAGATTTTCATATACAATTATATTACAATTTTTAATACTTTGCCACTGTCCTTCATTAGATTGACCCATTTTTAGCAAGAAGTTCATAATCATTTAAAATATAATAAACAAATATTTTATGATCATTTTGATTATGATTTTGATCAATTAAATTTTTTATGTATTTTAATAAGCACCAATTAAAATAAGCAGGTTGTCTTCATTTTTACATAAATATATATGTAATGATAAATGACAATTAAAAATATTTCACTAATATTTTGACATTAAAGAAGATTTTCTTTTTTTTTCTTATTTTAACAACATCTCTGACCAAGGTTTAGATTTAGTCAATTAGCAGATTTTTTTTTTTTTTTCCAAATGAGAAATGCATCATGTGACTCATCAAAAAGAGGTTCAATGTTAGAGAAATAAAAGCTAAGGGAAGGGGGGAATAGGGATTGCTTTTAAAGATGTAGTCATTCTAAAATCATTGCTTTTTCTATGTCAAGGTTTATGTTGATCAATACAATTGCAAAAGCTCCTTTAAAAGAACATCCTTTAACTGAAGTCAACTGAAATGTTTGAAAGAATGTATTTTGTTTGTAATGCAGACCGCATTTTCAAGGCACATAATGGCATAAGTACCAACCTTTTGTTCCATTAGCAATTTCCTTCTAGACTCACGCTGCCTTTTTCTATTCAAAACCCTGTTATTTACTGTAGGTCATTGCCATGCATACATGACTATTTTAATGCTCTCCCTGCCAGTCTTGTGAATAGACATCACTTGTATAACCGTGACATGATCTCTGCCACACTGACACCATGTGGCCATGTATGGATGAAAAGGAAGAGTGTTTATTAAATTAACTTCAACATATTTTTAAGAAGCAACAACACAACATCAATAAAGTATAGTTCTACTAACAGGAAAACGCTAGATGGGAGAGAATGTGTTTTCAGAAATAATTATGACAAGCGAGCACTTACCATATCTCAATTATCTAATGTGCAGTTTGTCTTGAGGAATTTAAAAGCTTCAGCTGGGGCTTTGGTTAGATTTAACTGATGACATGTATATATTTATACACATAATAAATAATAGGGTTTTGTATGTAAAAAGGCAGCGTGAGTCTTGAAGGAGAATTACTGATGGAATGGTGATTATGCCATTATGTGGCTATATCATGTAAGCTGTCGGTATAACAAAAAGATGACAAAAAATTATTCAAAACATTTTTGGAGCTTTAGAATAAACTTAAATTTACATTAAATTGAAGCTCACAGATTTATGATGTTCATGTCACATGACATACAGGTAAACAATAAAAAAACGCACGCACAGTTTTTGATGTTTAAATTGTTTGAATTCCATTTTAAAATGTTATGATTTAATAGCCCTTTAAAGGGATAGCTCACCCAAATATGAAACCTTTGTATTAGTTTACTCACCTTTTACATGTTTCAAACCTTTATGAGTTTCTTTCTTCAGTTGAACACAGGAGAAGATATTTTAAAGAAAGCTGGAAATCAATTACTTCTTCCATTTGTTTTTTCTACTAAGGAAGTCAATGGTTACAGGTGTTCAGCCTTCTTCAAAATCTTAAGTGTCGAACAGAATAAAGAAACTCAAAAGGTCTGGAACTGCTTTAGGGTGAATAAACAAAAAATACTTAAAAAAAAAATTTTTTTTTGGTTGAACTGTTCTTTAAAAACATACAAGGAGTAATATAGTTGTTTTATATTTAAATGCCTTTTCAAAACATTGTCAAAAGCACATATATTGTACATGGCACTTTAGCATAATGCTTGTTAACACAAATATTCAATGATATCGACTTAGTGGAGAAATGTTGACAATGAAATGTTGACAATTAGGGAATGTTCTGAAGACGATCTGATGAAGCTTCATCTAAGCATCAGAATGGAGAAAAAAGTTCTTTTGAGTAACTTATGAGTGAATATGGTATGATTGTCGGTGTCAGATAGGATGCTCTGAGTATTCGAGAAACTGCTGATCTACTGGAATTTACATGCACAGCCATCTCTAGGGTTTATAGCGGGTCATCAGAAATGGAGAAAAGATTAAGTGAGTGGCCGTTCTGTCTTGTTTATGCCAGCGCCAGAGGAAAATTGCCAGACTCCTTTGAGCAAACAGAAAAGGCCAACAGTAACTCTAATAACAACTCATTGCAACCATATTCACACATACTCGCTAAAACTGGAGTACAGATTGAAAAATTTGCCTGGTATTATGGGTCTCGATTTCTGCTGTGACATTTGGATGGTAGGGTCAGAATTTGGCATAAACAATTAAGCATCAATTCATCCAACTTGGTATCAATAGTCTGGGCTTTTGGTTGTATAATGAGGAACTTTTTTTGCATTGCAGTTTTTTTAACCTTGTTTAAATGCCGACAGCATACCCATCTCGTTGAGGCTGCTTCCAACAGTATAGCATGCAGTGTGGCCACAAAGCACAAATCATCTCAAAATGGTTTCCCTTAAGAGTGAGATTATACTTAACTCTAATAGCCTTCACAATCACCAGATCCAGTTGAGCAGCTTTGGGGTGTGCTGAAATAGAAAAGTGGAGAGATTTGCATCATAGATGTGAGGCCGACAAATTTGCTGGAGGGTTGTTGACATGATGCTGCATTTTCCCTGTCACACATGATAAAAATGAAGATAATTAATATTGTAATCATTTAAAATCTTTGTTTTCCATGGATCTCTTGTTATAAAAA